TCTACTTTCTGACAATGTTCAACCATGCACATTTTTTTACGTTTTGAACGTTTTAATTTGGTTACATATTTACCTAGAAATCAAAAAATATACTAATCAATATTCTAAAAGCAATTTTAAGAGATATACGATTATTTTTAATTTAGGCTAATTTAAACGCCATTTTGAGATTATATTCGACTGTATTTCACCAAACATCAGGCGGCATCCGAAGCTGGAAATCGAAGCGAAAATTTTGAAACCCTTATGTATATTTACATCATTATATATTTCTTATCCCACCCCCACATGATCCTATATCCATCACCAATCGTATACACATCGAATTGTGCTAATTTACTACAAAGTTACGCAAAGCAGCATCTACTATCTAAAATATGTACTGCGTGACTCTTAATACGTCCCTGCCGAATGTTACAGCGTTCGATGATCACGTGGTCTTGTTTATGTCCGGTCTATCTCTTATCTGAATATACTTGTAGTAAGATAGGATGTTGCGCCCCACTATACAGGGTGTCTGCGAAAAGTTGGGATATCTCGAAACTGGAGATACTACAGACCAAAATATGTGAATTAACCTAAACAGACCTTAGTCCAAAAGTCGATAGTTTGCGAAATACGTCAAAATTATAATTTTATTTTCTATTTTTCGTTATTGCTTGAGATGTATGCGCCACTTACTATTTCGGTAAATAACTCATCATTAATTTTTTGTGTATACATCAACTGACCAAAAATCTTATTTTCTCGTACTTATTTCCACAACAAAAAAGGTTTACCCGTTAGAAGTATTTAAAGCTAATAGTTTTCGAAATATTTGTTTTTAAAAGCTCCAATTCATTATTCGTACCATGATGATAAAACATTTTTATAACATAATAATCAAGTTGCTTTGGACAATATCTGAGTAGGGTTTCTATTGTTTTTAACAATAACAAATGTGGATGCAACAAAAATAATAACTACAAAAATTGTTCAAAATGAGTACCACCTTGCCTAACACACTCTCGAGCTCGACAAACTAATCCTTGCTGCACTCTCCAAAGCATTTTAATTTCATTTTTTCATTTCCTGGCTATGATAGAAAATTCTTTGTCGAAGATCATCTACAGTTTCCACTGGCGTATTGTAAACACGTCGTTTCAAATCACCCCAGAAGAAGAAATCCATAGGATTTAAATCTGATAAACTAGCCGGCCTCGATACAGGCCCTGATCGGAATATCCACTGGTCTGGATAAACTCTATTTAGGTGCTCTCTGATATACTAAAATGAGGTGGAGCGCCGTCGTGCATAAACTATTCATGCGTGTTTGTAATGGATGATCTTCCAGCAGAGTGGGTAATTGTTCTTCAAGGAATTGTAAATACCTTTGGCCATTTAGTCTAGGTGGTAACTCAACGGGTCCTATTAAATATTGTCCAATTATTCCTGCCAATAAATTAATTTGAAATTGTACTTGGTGGCGGGTTTGTACTATTGCATGAGGATTTTCGTCTGCATAAATCCCATCCCTTCCAAATCCTGCTTCGTCCCAAAAAATATTAACTAAGTAAAACCATTGTCGTGGTTAAACTTCCTTAAGAGCCATGTACAACATTCTACCCTTGCGGGGTCATCATCCGCGCTTAAACCATGTACTTTTTGTAGGTGGGATGGATGGAGCAGTTGCTCTTGAAAAATGGTATTTACTGTAAATTTGGAAACTTGAAATTCTCGAGCTACATCCCTAACCCCAAATGTAAGATTTTCAAACACAGCATCTAAAACATTTTCTCCAACTTCAGCTGTACGTACAGTTCTTGAAGCTCCACTATGTCGGCCCATATTTTGAGCAAGACTACCTAAAATCCAAATGGTTCTTACTACTCAAAATAAGGCTATAATCATTTCTTACCAGTTTCTCGTAACCGCTGAACGATTCGTTGGAAAGTATATATTTGAATTAGGCTATTAGCGAATCTGTCACCGTACAACCTCTGTGCTTTTAAAGCATTACATTTCGCAAATCCGTACATTGAATGCATATCAGAATATTCGTCAAACGTATACTCCATGATGTTTAACAACTTATTTTCAACTTAAAATTGTTCATGAAGTTTAAACCAATATTATGACAAACATTAGAAACCAGAGCAACGCTACTCAGATACTATCCAAAGCAACTTGATTATTATATTATAAAAATGTTTTATCCTCATGGTACAAATAATCCATTGGAACATACATAGGATATTCTGTGAAATAACGATAAATGTAGTCTAGTATTAACGTCATAAGCATGTTGATTCTGCTCCACAGAACATACTAAAATATAGGTAATGTAGAAAAATGGAGTTATCTTGTTTTTACAGTAAAGTGACGATGCGTTCTTTGTGGAGCTAGAAAGCCGTTTAAGCTATAGCCTGCGAAATAGGAATAACAAGGTTGAAATCTTTTATTTGAATCCACCATTTTGTTTTTTATAAAATTTTAATGTAGCTTTAGTTTGAGTAGACTTAGTAATAGAAAATGGAGCATATCTGATAATTTCCTCCTGCCTGGCAACAGTGGTGCATAGAATAGGGAAGCTGCTGCTACATGATAGTGTCTGACAAAGATAGGAGATGTATGACATACAGTATTTGTATCAGATTTAAGAAATTTGTTCATCTGCGCCAAAACCGACCGATGATTGATTAGGTGCAATAAATGGTTCATGTTGAAATTTTTATTTATATAATACTTCAATTTGGGGAATATTCTATTATTTTCATCCACTCACGTGATGCTTGCCAGGATTCTCTCTTCATCTAAATGTAAAAATATCAAATCACTAATTACACTGCACAACAAATTTTAGTTTTTTAATTGTATCTTGTGGGAAAAGTGCACTTCTTTGTTAATTTTGGGGCCCTGAATCCAAAAATAACAATGAAATAAAAAAATTAGTTTCGGTTTAGAAAAAAAACTTTTTATTTTTAAGGATATATTAAAAAAAGTAACAAGATTCATATACTTATAAGAATCACTATATGCGCTGTCTTTTTGCTGTTCTTTTATGGATCGTTTCTGGAGCATCTCTACCAAGAGTCCAACAGTAGTCTGCAAGCATGGAAGGATTCCACTTTCCCTGGTACCTTTTTTCCATTGTTGAAATACTCTGATGAAAACGTTCACCGTGCTCATCACTTACGGCTCCGCAATTGTCAGGAAAAAAGTCCAGGTGTGAGTGTAGGAAATGTATCTTAAGGGACATATTACAGCCCATCTTTTGATATGATGACAGCATATTTTTGACAAGGGTTTTATAGTTGTCAGCTTTTCTATTTCCCAAGAAATTAGTGACCACCAGACGGAAATCATTCCAAACAGTTTTTTCAATACCTGTTAAAGTGTTTTCAAACTGTGTATCTTTCAAAATATTTCGAATCTGTGGCCCAACAAAAATACCTTCTTTAACCTTTGCCTCACTTAGTCTTGGAAATTTCTGACGCAGGTATTGAAAAGCTGACCCATCTCTATCTAATGCCTTGATAAAGTTTTTCATTAGGCCCAACTTGATATGCAGTGGTGGTAAATTCTTTTCGAATCTACTAATGGCATATGCTGTACATTTTTTTGACCTGGCTCTAGGAATTGACGAACAGGCCAGTTTTGTCTGGAGTAATGAAGTGCCTTTGCCCGACTGTCCCGTTCACACAAAAAACAGCAAAACTTTGTGTAGCCTAGCTGCAGCCCAAGTAAAAGTGCAACAACTTTCAAATCGCCACAAATATGCCACTGGTGCTCATCGTATTTTATGCATGTCAATAGGTACTTCATTTTGTCATATGATTCTTTCATGTGAACTGCATACGCTACAGGAAGAGATGGTAAAATATTTCCAATATGCAATAACACTGCCTTTAAACTCAATGTTGAACTGTCTATAAACAATCTCCATTCTTCTGGTAAGCCGTTAATGTTACTGCAGAAAACCAAGTTATTCTCCATATTGAAAAATGGTTCTAAGCCTTTGTGGCGTTTACGAAAAACACATAACGGAAAATCGTCTTCTAACAAGTTCCACTGCTGCAGTCTTGATCCAAGTAACTCTGCCTTACATTTTGGAAGTTCTAAATCTCTTACAAGATCCTTTGATTCTGACTGTGTTATTTTGTGCGGTTGGTGGCATGACGTGCTCGGTATAAAATCAGGATCTCTTGACCTTGATGGCATATCTTCTTCCTGAGGAATCACTCGATCGCCATGATCTGATTCGTTTTCTGATTCGCAAGTGTAGGATTCTGGGGGTTTTGGAATAGGATTTTCGTCACTGTGAGGCACAGGTCTCATCGCAGATGGTATGTTTGGGTAGTTAATAACCGATTTTTTTTTCTTTGGCATACCTGTGGCTTGTCCAACACAAGGTACCATGCAAAAGTAACAATCATTAATATGATTTGTAGGCTCTCTCCAAACCATTGGGACAGCAAAGCGCATAGACCGTTTTTTGCCATTTAACCAGCTCCTCAGACTTGAAGCACATGTATTACAGCAGATGTGGGGTGCCCACTGTTTGTCTTGATCACCTAGTTTACAACCGAAATAAAGCTGATATGCCTTTGTTATTAGTGGAGTAATAGACCGTCTCTGAGACGCAAAAGTCACATCACCACACACGTAACAAAACTGATCTGGATTGTTTACACACTTTCAAGACATCTTGCATGAACGCTGTCAGCCAACTGAGGAAAAAATGGCTAATATAAAACAATATAATGTACACGTATGTATAACGTAACACAATCATGCCGATTACATCATCTTTCCTTGCCGAATATAAAAATGTAGCACGTGCATTCTTGTGAATTACAGTATATTAACACTGTCACAGCAGGAACACATATAATTACCGTATCTCTAAAACATGAACTAATATTGAAAAAATAAGTTTCATTCCGGTTTTAGCACATTAAAAATACTCGTAGTAATATTTTGTTGATTTTATTTAGGATATTTTTTGGCTGTTGATCAGTGTTATTAGCTACACTATCAAATATGACGTTTGTTTTGGTTAACATCCAAATTTCGTTTAAAATGAATATAAAATATAAAGCAACACTATCAGTAGTTGTGATAGTATACTTTAGATGTATTGTGACTATTGTGGGAGTTGCTAAAGTTCAGGAGACTCTGTCGTGAAGTGCTAGGTGCTCAAGGTAGGCGTGATATAGTTGGTATATTATTTAAAATTACATCTCTGGAATTCAGCCTATTTATAATCCTTGTAGTTGGCACCGTTATATAAAGTACGAAAGCTTTGTTTGTATTTAATAACACATGGTAATATCGCAGAGCACAGTCATAAAGCCGTAAGGTTTATAAAGCAAAATTTTGCCCATCCAGGCCAACAAATTAAAGGCATAGAACTGAGGGAACTAATTAAATTGAATCATTTACAAAGAATGTATAACTTACATAAGTGTTTTCTGTATGGTTTCAGAATTATCAACAAGCAGTTCAATGAAGTGAGACACCTGTGTCTTACAGCACGACACAACATGAATTTGGAATCTATCTATATTTTCAAATAATACGATTTTTAGACTATTGTCGAAAAATATGTTTACTGCAAGTAATTATTTTTTTTTGAAAATAAATGTATTTTAAGGAACATAATTGTTATTTGATTTTATTATTCTGAAATCTTCCAAAAATATTTCGAGCATTCCACATTAGAAAAATCCGTGTAAATAAACTGGCTGACCAGACTGAAAGTATTTCATTTTGGCTTCTCAGCTAAAAACCATTATTAAAACGAGGTGCTTATATTCTGCATGCTTTTTGTGTAGGTAATTGACATTTTCACTTCCTACGCCACAGGCGAGGAAGTATTGTAATCGCGAAAAATTTCGAAATTGGGATTTTCTATTTCTTGGATGTTACATGACATGTAGATCACGAAAAACCCGGTCACTCAAGGCTACTACAATACCACGGACGGAAAAGCTTGTAGCTTTGAAAATCGGTTCATTGGCGGCAGGGGAAGGGGGAAAAGCACGAAAAAATAAATATCGCTGTTCCTTGGTTTTTTGACGTTTCCGAAGCTCCTAATCATTTACAAAATTTTGTAGGAGTTTGGTGGGTTGGGGGTTTTAAGGGATGGGAAGGGGTATATCTCGATTTTTTTATGTTAGTATACTTATACGCCAACACATAGAAAGATAAAGACATGCTTTTGATACCTGTGCTGTTTCTGCTCTCTGTATTGACCGACGGGCGTGCCGATCTGGTTTAATGTTCTGCCCGTACTGCAACGGTTGTGCAATCAGATAAGGGAAGGGGCAATGTTGCCAGATCGACAGTAACTACCAGTAGGGCATGGAAATAATGTCTATGGACTCATTGTATGGACGTGTTGGACTGACATGATCCATTTAATTTCTCTGTTGTACATGTTCGTAGCCAATGTTTTTCTAAGAGGGACTAACTTGTGCCGAATATAATCCTTTATGGCTTGGTGATAGCGTTGTGTAAGAAGTGCAGGGTGAACCTAACTTTTTTCTCGTGACATTCATAAAATGATGACGGCGTTGCCTGGTAAGTGCAGTGAACCTAATCGACGCCATTTTTTTCATATATACTAAGTGTCATTTAAAATGCAACACCCAGAATTATTTATTAAATTTTGACAAAAACTTCTAAACATATTGATAAAACTGATCAAATGTTGAAGGCATTCCGAGCCGTACTTTTTTTGTAAAGGCTTTTTTGTCATATCAGGATCCGAACAGTACGGACATGTTTACTTAATATTCAATGATTTTTGTGTGTTGTTCAATTTGTGTCATTGTTGTTTCATTGCATTATCATGCTTAGAGTTCGCAGACGCGCTAATTTGCTACTCAACTTTCCGATTTTGGAGGAATCGCTAATCGGGTGAATCGAAACGAAGCTACTGTAATGAGATGTTGTCGAGCGTGGTTCCAAAAAGGCCGAAAGCGACGATTTAGAGCTACTGGACGTAAAGACAGGCTACAGAGCGACGGGATCGTTATTTGAGATAAAGATCGATTTTTAACAACAAGAGCAGTTATCACACAAATAGAAACAATACCAACAACACTACTCCCGCAAGATACGGCGTCAAGTCTGTTTTGCATTGAGGAAGCATTATAATCGACCAATTGTGTACTTGTCATTTTCGTCGCGACCGCAGCTTAACATTATTCATGGGCCACTTGAAAAGGATCTGTGCACTACTTCGATACAAGCCGCACGCGCTTGCTTTTGTCTCTCTCTACAAAATCAAATGCGCGATTTAAGCATAAACATGAGCTGCAGGCTGCACGTTATACAGATCCGTACAGATCTAATGCGAAGTACGATATCTGATTGGTCAGTCGGTGCTCGGTATAAAATTTTGCGGAGCATTTGAATTGGCGCTACGGAGCCACGACGAAACCGAGAGCTCCCAAAACCCGGGAATATTTTGTGAGTTACGCCACTGGAAATGCATAGGTTTAAAGAAAAAAGACGCTGCATCAGCTTTTTTCATTCTTATCTTACACACACACTTGCATTGCTATTCAGATTCACTTTGCTTTAGCTACAATCAACTCTGTAATCCTTCTTAATAAAAATTTTGTTAGTTCGGTTTGAAAACAAGTATTTTGAGTTTTTTTAAAAACTCATCGTCGCAAGCTCCCGTCCTAACTGGTGGACTGACTAATTTTTCTGCTGAGCTTGATACAACCTTAAGCGAACACATTAAAAAAGTTCCAATATTTAAAGGAATTTCGAAAGAAATACAAAACGATCTACTGGATTGTATTCTTGAAGTTTGTCCTAAAGAAACAATAAAACAGATTAACAGAAACTCGTATTTGGTGATAATAGCAGATGAAATTACGGACATTTCGGGGAAAACCCAACTGGTAACAATTTTCGGATACGTATTTAACGGCGAACCAGTAGAACGTTTTTGGAATTATATGAATCCCGAAAAATGTGACGCTGATACTCTCACAAGACATATTTTGAGCGTCGTGGATCCGTTAATAGGAAATTTCCCTAACAAACTGATTTCACAAAGCTATGATGGAGCCGCGGTAATGAGCGGACACAATGCTGGAGTACAAGCAAAAATTAAACAAAGATATCAATTTGCTCACTATGTTCGGGTGTTCTTTGGGGGTTTGAAAGATATTCCGGGATTTTTTTATAATTCTCCTCAACGCGTAGAGGTACTGAACAGAATTGTGGGGAAAAAATTCCTCAAGGAGCAACAACTCGTTGGAATTTTAATAATAATAATAATAATAATAATCACCGTCTTTATTATTGACATAAGACATTGACAAAATGGTAAGTGAACATAAGTACATCCAGTGTCAATAAAAGGCGAAGCTCAGTTTGATTAGTACACAGTACCAACAACCTGCTCTTCCACTTAGCCCAGTATCCTCTATGACATATGACATCCGATAAACCGATAATACATACATGTCACTATAAAAGAGGGACATACCTACACGCTAACAAAAAAAAAACAATCATTCATTCATTCATGCGGTGCTACTGTTTTTTCAGCAGTTCCTTTTTAAACATGGCTTTGAAGTTATCTATTCTAGAAAATTTTAGTTCCTTCCGGACTGAGTTGTAGACTTTATATATTTGGTATGTGAAGCTCCGTTTGAAGATTGACGTTCTAAACTTGGGTGGCGAAATAAGACCCTTACTTCTTACGTTAATGTTATGAACGTCAGTCCGGTAGGTTATTTTTTGATAAAGATATTGCGGTGTTCTGACTAAAATTAATTTATGATAAAAAACAGCAGAGTGAAGGAGCCTACGATTTTCCATATTTAACCAACCTGCATCTTTCAATTTGTGAGATATTCTATGTCTCCTCTGTATACCAAATGCAAGGCGCAAGCATGAGTTTTGAACCAGTTGAACTTTACGTCGATACAGGTTAGTTAAGTGTGGGCCGTAAAGCACATCAGCGTAGTTGAATAAAGATAATACTAAAGTATCACATAGCATGATCTTAAGTTTTAACGAGAGAAATTTTCGGCTACCGTAAATAAATTTCAACGACAAATATGCTCTCTGCATAATTTTGTTGATGTGATACTCAAATCGAAGATTACTATCAATCACAACACCTAAATTTTTTACATTGTCCATTATTTTGAGAGTTACACCATTTATCTCAATTTTAATATGATTCTCTATAACATTTCTATTTTGTCTAGGTCCAAAAACAATTACGTGAGACTTTGATGGATTTATTAAAAGACAGTGGCGTGTGGCACATTCTACAAAGGAGTTTAGCTCATTATTAATGATCAACGAGAAACGATCCATCAATTGTGGGGGGAAGCTGCAATAGATTTGGGTGTCATCAGCGTAAAAATGCACATTACATAGACTAAGGAAGTGCATGAAATTAGATGTATAAATTAGAAATAGGAGTGGTCCAAGTATGGACCCTTGGGGTACGCCGGATTTCAAATTTAAAGATAAAGACTGAACTCCATTTAAAACAACTGTTTGTTTCCGCTTAGTGAAGTAGCACTGAAATAAATCTATAGCGTTTTGAGAAAGACCAATATGATGTAAAATAGCAAGCATTAATTGATGGTTTAAAGTATCAAACGGTCTGCTGAAATTCAGCAGAACAAGAACAGTACACTCGCCACGATCTGTAGCTCTAATTATGTCGTCTGTTACATGAAGTAAAGACGCCGTACAGCTATGATTTTTCCTAAATCCAGACTGTACAATTGGCAGTAATGAAAATTGTGACAAATGATAAGAAAGTTGCTCCTCCATTGCACGCTCAAGTAACTTAGAGAAAAATGGTAAAACACTAATCCCTCTGAGATCTTTAAGATCTGAAGGATTAGGTTTTTTTGGCAGAACACAGACATTTGCTTGCTTCCACAGATCAGGGAACTGATTATGCGTAAAACAAAAATTAATTATATGAGTTAAATAAGGAATAATATGAGGGCAACATAGTTTAATAAAATTTAAATTAAAACCATCGCAACCACGAGCATTAGTTTTAATACGGCAAATTGCTTCATAAACAAGTAAATCATTAACTTCTTTGAATTCAAAATTTGAAGAAATCCTCCTAGTATTTCTGTAGAAATTTATTAAGTTAGGAGAAGGCTGTATATTAGGTATAGTGTTAACAAAAAAATTATTAAGTTCATTGACATCATTAAAGGAATTTGGAATGGTGTTATCCTTTTAAGAGACTATTCCATTGTTCCTTAACCTTTTCCACATTTCTGTTGAACTGCAACTTTCTAATATGTATGTATAATAAGATTTTTTAAAATGTTGCAAAATTCACCTCACCCTCCACAAACACTGGCGGCTCTACGAAACCAAGTTCAGACGGGCAGGGATACAATACACCAAGATGACATCAATCACTTAATTCAATCAATGCCGCGACTACTTAACGAATTTGTAGTGGAGAGAGGAGCTTTAATACATTATTAACATTAAGGTGGGATATCACGAAATTTGGAGTTAAAATTTTAAACCCTCAATCAATAGACCTCAAACTTGTAAAAGTATGCTCAAAATTACAGCACTCTTAATCGGTCTTGCATTTTCTATGTCGTTTAGTATATTTCATGGTTAACAGTAAT